TTAAGCCCAAGAGTTGGAGGTTGCTGTGAGCTGTGACGCCACAGCACTCTACCAAGGACAACATAGTGAGACTCTGTCTCAGAAAAAAAAAAAGTGGCCTTCACACAGACACACAAAGCCACCCAAACAATAATAATGATAATTATTACAATGGGATGCAATAGTCATATTCATTATAATCGTCACAGTTTTAATAATCACATCTATTGTAATCATCACGATTATAATAATCACATCTCCTTTGATGGCATGAGTATGAGGACTCAAACCTGTTCTCTGCTTTCTCTGGGCTTACGAATAGCTCAGTCTTTGCTAATTAACAAAGTTACATCTACCATAAGTTTGCATGACAAGACTGAGGAGGTGAAGCCCACCCTCTGTAAATTCACAATATATAATCCGGTGTATAATTCTGCAGTATTTTTTTTTTTTTTTGGCCAGGGTTGGGCTTGAACCTACCACCTCCAGTATGGGGTCAGTGTCCTACTCCTTTGAGCCACAGGCGCTGCCCCCAGCGTGTAATTCTATATGTATAAATATATAGGTTCACTTACATAATCCTATATATACTTATAGGATAATAAATAATATATATCCACTACCTGCTGTAATAGCAAAATAGCATTACATCTATTCTCATACATTATAATATATTATAAATATATAGCGAACCTACATAGGAATTTGTATATCACATTACATATAATGAATATGAATATATACATACCAGATATATATATATATATATAAACCTGTGTGTGTCTATAGCAACACAGGTACAATACACGTATATTATTTTTTTAATAAAATATAGAAAAACTGCAAACATCCTGGTTGGTATAACAATGAAATCTTTGAAACCCTTTTAAGATTTTTTTTTGACTCGGAAAGTGAGGAAGGAAGGACAGGAATCGTAAACACCAAAATTATTTTTTTTAATTTTTTTTTTAGCCCAATTCATAATTGCTAAAGCATGGAAGAAGCCCAAGTGCCCATCGATCCACAAATGGATCAATAAATTGGGGTATATGTACACTGTGGAATATTATGCAGCCTTAAAGAAAGACAGAGACTTTACC